CTTAGTTCTCTTGATCTGAAATAATTAATAAAGGGATGAGCTACACTACCTTAATAAGAATATCACACTATTCACCGATATAAAAAATGAAAGTTGGTAAAAATCATAAAAACAACCAATGGAACTCTTAATTTAAGTAAATTTATTTATCATAAGTAAAATCACTTATTGCATACTAACCGTTGTGAGATTTCCAAAACTTATCTATAGAGACAATAGCTCAATAACATCATAATCTCATATTTAAGTAAGCAAGAATAACAACTTTTTATTTTTATTTGTTTACTGGTATCCATAGGGGTCCATAGGGGTATCCCACTACGCGCGAACCATTTTTCAACTTTGTTAACTAACCGGCCGTCTACACACCCCCTTCGGTATGAGCGCCAAAAATATAATACCTCAATACCACGTCTGGTATAAGGGTGAAACGAGTCGTCCCCATACCCCGTCCGGTATGAGTGCCCAAAATACCAATCCTCGATACCCCATCTGGTGTTCACGGTAAGGTTTCTTATGTACCCGGTCCATCCACTATCTCTCAAGATATCTAGTAACGCTACCATTCATTCATTCACTTAACCAATCAATTTTCTGTTTACATTTAATTTTCAGTTTCACAATTTAACTGTAAATCAACGCAAGACAAACAATACATGCATCAAAAAAATACAACTGAATCATTTTACCAATTTCAGTATATTATAATGCATTTAAAGATGTAAAATAAAACAATCGGTTAAACAGGACAATAATAATAAATAACCAGTTCTGCCTCCATTATTAACCTATAATTAATTCTTAAAACTTTCTAAATTATGCAAAATACCGTATTATTGATAATTAGACTTCAATTTCATAATAAGGAATAAGGTGAGGAATTCTTACCTGAATCGGTGTCCGAAATACCGAACTTTCTACTGCGCTTACTAGAGGTATCCAGGTTTTTTAAATTTTCCTGCGGCGATTAAAACACGTTTCACGTACCTAAAAATATTCGAAAAAAATCCAAAACTAGTGTTAAAAACCTTTTCAAACCAATTTCAGAATTTTGATACGGCGGCACCGCCGTGCTCTGGCGATGGCACCACCACCTGCGGCAATAGTTTCCCTCAGACTGGCCATTTTCGACTTGTTTTGGCTGGTGTTATACTCATACATGTGAAAAAACACGTTAGGGGGCCTCGATTGGCCAAAAAAAGTAAAAAAAAAAAAAACTTGACGGAGGCAAAATTTTTCAGTGCGGCGGCTCCACCAATTCACCTTCGCGGTTAGACATTTTTCTTTGGTCAACCTGTAGAAAACATAATGGTAAACATAATTGTAGAAAAATCGCACGAAATGGGAATCGGAAAGGGGCTCATCGGATGCGATTTTTATTTTTTTCACGACTGTGCCGCCAGGCTTTGCCCATAATTTTCAGTTCATCCACCGTTTCTTTTACTCCGATTTGGCCATGAGGTGTTCGAAATCAAATTCCAAGTGGATAGGAGAATTTTTACCTTTTTTGACGGTCGGAGGTGGCTCTAGCTTGGCGACGGGCGACGATCGGCTCCCTTCTCCAGCGACTGGTTCTTCTCCTCTGGCGGGGGCTTAGCGGCTAGGATTTGGGTTTAGTGTGATGTGAGATATTTATACTCATCTCCCTTAAATCTGGACCGTTCATCGCCTTTGATCTCGACCGTCTGATCGCATTTAAAGAAAAAATCAATATGAACCGTTCATCACGATTTGATCTCGATCGTACGATCATGTTTAAAGAGAAAATGAATCTGGATTATTCGTCGCGTTTAATCGCAACCGTCCGATCACGCCTGAGGAGGGAATAGATCCGAACCGTCCACGCGTGTCGGAACGCATTCAGGTCGTCTGATCGCGGGCACGCGGATTGCCAGCGTGAGCTCCCACATGGCACCAAGTTAGCATGCCTTACCATGCAGCGCGCTCCAGTTCGTCGGGGCTGCTGACTAGGCAGTCGTACGTAGCGTAATTTTTTTTAATTGCATTTTGACCCCCAGTTTTTTATTTTTCTTTAAAAATACCATCTGAACCCAAATTTTTACCCATTTTTTTCAAATTATTTTCAATTTTATTCTCCACCTATTTTTTCTAATTTACATTAAATAAAATTTATAATTTAAAAAATTATATTTATATATATTTTTAATTTTAAACTTAATCCCGAGCCGAAATTTTGGATTCGGGTATTACAGCTCTCCCCTTTATTAAAAGAAATTTGGTCGTTTAAATTTATCTCTCTCTCACTCAATCAAATAGTTGGAGATACTGGGTTTTGAAGTCTGATTTTAGCTTCTATGTGGCCTTTCTCTGTGTGTGATTCTGCCATAGGACCTTAATGAATGAGATTTTTTTAGTTGTGGAGTACTCTGCTCTTTCGGTCCACAATACCCACCGGTACCTCCTCATAGGACAGATCCTCCTGGAGTAAAAGGGGCTCATAGGCCAAGACGTGAGAGGGGCTCGGGTTGTACTTGCGTAGTATAGACACATGAAACACATTATGGATCCTGAATAGTTCTAGAAGTAGTGTCAGTCTATAAGCGGCAGTACCAATTCTGTCTATGATTTCAAATGGCTTAATAAACTGGGAATTTAGTTTCTTCCTCTTGCTAAACGTACTGATTCTCTTGAAATGAGTTACTTTAAGGAATACTCGATCGCCTTTCTCAAATTCCAAATCTCTCCTCTGTGTGTATCTGCATAACTCTTCTGTCTGCTCTGCGCCGTCTGGATGTTCTTCTTAATCTTAACTATTTTGGTTGTAGTCTCCTCCATAAGATCTGAGCTAAACAATTTTCTATCACCCACCTCTTTCCAACATATCGGTGATCTGCATAGAGCCATGTCCATACTTGTTTAATAGCTGTTATTGTAGGCGAACACTATTAAGGATAAATGATCATCCCAATGGCCCCCAAAATCAATAACACAAGCTCGCAGCATATCTTCCAGTGCACGGATCGTCTTTTCTGATTGTCCATCTGTCTAAGACTGTAATGCGGTACTAAAGGATAGTTTTGTTTTCATGGCTTACTGAAAACTAGACCAGAACCAAAAAGTGAACCTGGGGTCCCTGTCAGTACTACTGTCACTAATACTCCATGTAACCTAACTATCTCTCGGATATGCATTCTTGCTAGCTTGTCCAAATGGTCGGTTATCTTGATGGCCAAGAAGTGGGAAGACTTGGTGAGTCGGTCAACAATTACCCAAATGACATCATATCACGAGCGTGCCTTAGGCAATCCTATCACAAAATCCATTGTGATGTATTCTCACTTTCACTCTGAAATTAGTAATGGCTGAAGTAGCCTACTTGGGCGTTGATGCTCTGTCTTGACTTACTGACATACCAAACACTTAGAAAAAAAATCGGTCACTTCTATTTTCATCCCGTTCTACCAAAATCGGGGTCGCATACTTTGATACATCTTAGTGCTTCTGGGATGCATAACAAACTTTGAGTTATGAGTATCTGTCATGATGTCTCTTTTTAGCCTACTGTCACATAGAACACATATCCTGTCCTGAAATCTGAGCAACTCATCGGCAGAGACTCGAAATTTTGAATTTACTCCCTGTTCTACATCTTTTTCGATGGCTGCTAGGGTGGAATCGGCAGATTGGGCTTCCTTTATTCTCTAGATCAACTCAAGTTGAACAGTCAGGTGGGCCAAACATGTAACTCTCTTCAAGTCCTGAAGTCGTACCTGTTATGTGGCCCCTATTACCCTGCATTTTGAAACCATTAGGTAAGCTAATATATCTGCACTTTTTCTACTGAGTACGTCGACTACCACGTTGTCCTTGCTTGAGTAATACAAGATG